AATAATATATATATATAAGATTATATTTAGCTATAAAAGAGAGAATTATATACGCTCTTTTTATAAGTGCGCTTATTATTAGGGTTATTTACTCGTGGTTAAGGGTTTACCCTTATTTAATTAAGCGTACGTAATTTATACCCGTAATAAGTGACCTATTCTAACACTCTGGAACCCGGAATGGAGGGTTGCGGTTGGGAGGGAGGCGGTCGCACATCAGCTAAGCTCCGCAAAACCCCGCCAAATTAATTTTACCAGTTAACGTTTTCACAAAAAGAACTAAAAGGTAGCTGTATTCTTACCCTATAATGCTTTATATAAAAAAAGAGCTATAATAAATATAATTATTAAAGACACGTGATTTAAAATATATTACTTTTTATGCTATTAAAAGTGCTATTAAAAGTACAGCTAAAGGTTAATTAATGCGGCGGGTTATAGCGCCTTTAGCTGCATAGCGCCTTTAGCTATATAGCGCTTTAAGCTGCACTTTTAATAGCGTAAAAAGTAATGTATGTTTATCGCGTGTCTTTAATAATTATATTTATTATAGCCCTTTTTTCATATAAAGTGGTGCGAGCTAAGAATGTAACTACCTTTTAGTAAAATCGTAAAATCAGAAAATCAATTTGGCGGGGTTTTGCGGAGCTTAGCTAATGTGCCACCGTAGTCTGGTGCTCTGGGTGGCTCGCCCAACATTCAGTCCCGCACGCTTGAATGTCCAATGTTTTCTTGAAACAAATAACCGCCCACCTATTTTTGCATGCAGGTGGCTAAAGAGACTGTGTGCGCTGCCTGATTGTGCGTGTTTCAGAAATCCTGCAGCAGCCGTGAACACGGAATGGACGACGCATCGATTGGCCATGGCAACATTGAACATCACACATGAAGTGATGAAAGCGCTTAGCCGCCGTCGCGACAATGAATGCACGCGCGCTCTTTCGAAGCCGCCCATTCACCACAAAATGGTTGGCTGCCATGGCCCGTTTTCTGCTAGATCGAAACACGACCCAGAACGGCCGCCTTTTTGTCCATAATCTGCACAACCGACCAGACCCTTTGTCAAAAAAAGAAAAAAGAAAAAAAAAAGTATTAAAGCGAAACCTGTCGTGAACATCAGTCTCCTCTCTTTCTGTCCATATTTCTTTGTCTTTGACATTGACTGCCACCTCTCTGCAGAAGCCAGCCTCGACGATTGTTTTCTTATTTATACACGACGCTTGCGGCTGCTATTTCGACAACCAGGCTCATCCTCATCCTCAGCATCGGCCAGATATCCCCTTCCACCAGAACCACCAGGACCAATTTTATCTTTTTTTCTTATCTACATATATACAACTATCCAAGGAAAGAAAGCACATCCTCCAACACCATGAGCAAATTCACCCGCGCTTTAAAATTGGGGCAGCAAGCGGCCGAACTTGGCAGCACTGTTCAAGGCGTTCGAGGCGCAAACAAGAAACAAATAGCCCGCAACGTAGGTCACCTCGCCTACGGCCAAGGCGCCTCGCACGGCAAGGAACTGGGCAAGACATGGCTCAAGAGCTTCGAGGTTATCCCCCGCCTCGTCCTCCGAGGAGCACAGCTGCTCCTCGCCCTCATCATCTGTGGCTTCTACGGCAACCGCATCAGCAGCGAAAGCAAGGGCGGCCAGGGCATCGGCGCCGTCTGGATCTACGGCGTCGGTCTTGCCGGCCTTTCTGCAATCACGGCCATCTCCTTCGCCGCCGCCGCATCGGCCGGCACCATTCCTTGGGTCGGTAGCGCACTCACCTGGCTCAAGCCCCATCTCGTTTGGTGGTGGGACATGGTGCTCTTTTTTGCGTGGATGGCAGCATTTGGCATCTTTGCTGGCTTGTTCTTGAAGAGGAAGAGCGACGACCCATATAGGGGCAGCAGCACGCCCGCCATGAAGATTGCGCTTTGGATAGATCTTGCCGCTGCCGTCTTGTGGCTCTGTTCGGGCACCTACTCCGCCATCAAGTGCTTTGCGGGGAAAACGACCGATCGAATGGCGGAGAAGGCGGGGCAGAAGATGTTTGGCAGTACCGAAACTGTCGTCTAGTTTGCTTTGGGCGGTCTGCATCTATTCTGCATGGCGTGGGAGTTTTGTGTATTGTCAGGTATTTCTGGCCCGAGACTTTGGGGACTGGATACAGCACGCTGGTTGGGCTGTAGGACACGGATCGTTTTTCTTGCTTTGAGGCGCAGGATCGGAATAAAGTGTTGGAAATGAGAGCAATCGTGTTGTGTCGCACTACTTCATTCGTTTTTGTGGTGTCGTCTCGCTGTCTTGTCCACCAGTCGAGGAGGGGCTTGTAGCCAATTACTTATTTATATAATAACAGCTTTTTGTCTTGACGCAACATGCAGTTTCTTACCGCAAGCCTCCCCCTCTTGACGATATGCCAACTTGCTGAGAAAGGACACTATATCCTTAATTATTGGATGTATAATCCTCTGTTTCTAACGCAAAGCCACTCGAATCAGGACATTCGAGGCCATCGTCAAACATTTGAAGGTCTCAATTCCCTAAATACACCGCTTCATTCAATCAGCAGTTGACCGCTCAGTGTACAAAACATTCAAAGGCCACTATAACCAGTCAACTCGGAAAAGAGGATGTACTAGTGGAAAAGTCGACGATAGTCAGCACTTGAACAAATCTTATTCACCTGTGCCAGTACGTAGCAGCTATCGTGGTGGTCAACCACCGTTTTCGTTCGCTGGCTCTGCTGGCCATGAGCAAACCGTCAGGCTGCTACTGGAAGCTGGTCTGCTGGAATAGAGGCCGAACCGAAGACATGATCATCCTAAACACCAGGGAGAGGCTCAGCCCACTTGCCATGAGGGATGTGGTTAGCACCAATCCTACTGTCACTGGGGTGCTTGTCAATGGTGCTGGACGCAACCAGACGAGCCTGCTGGTTGAGCCTGCTCGTTCATCACCAACGAACGATGCAGTCAAGACAGAACTTCTTGAAAAGATCTGGCCGTCTGTGCAGGTTGCAAATAAGGCGGCGCCATCCCAAGCACGAGCTCACCGGGACACGATAACGTTCACATCTCCCGCAAGCCCACGTTGCGAGCCGGCAAAGGGACTATACAACGCAAAATGACTGTCAGCTTGTACAGCGTAGAGCTTGACGCTTTGTATCAAGCCGGTGACGGCCATGGCGCGCGCAATCCGCAACAAACCCGTTGCCGGCGAGTCGATAAACAAGAACGGCGTTTCGTCAGACTCGATTGTTCAGATGATTGCCCAGTCTACAGACATGTCCACCCATGACCTATCTCCGGACATTGATCTCTTTGGATACGGGATGGATTCCTTGCAAGTTATCCTTGTGTCCAACGAAATCAACAAGCCACTGCTGGCAAAAGACAGGCCACCGTCGTTTGATCCTCAGACTGTGTGCGCCAACCCGACCATCTCGTCACTTTTAGCCGCAGTATCAACAATTGTTGAAGGAAGAGACGTGCCTGAGAATCATGCACAAATGGTTCTGACAAGAATGAAAGAAATGTATCATGGCTACATGTCAGATTTACCCCTATCAGGAAGACGAGCTCTCCTGCGGCCCTCGCACAAGAGCTTTTTTTTGGTCACCGCCTCAACAAGATCGCTTGGCTCATACATGCTAGACTCGCTAATTAGCAACACTGAACCCTTGTGTCTCTCGCGTGTATTACATTAACAAGAGACGGGGCAGCCGTGAGCGTCAATAAAGGCCCAAAAGCATTAGAGGTCTCCAACCGCTATCACAAAAAGTGGAATGCTTTGAGGTTAATTTATCAGAGCCGTACTTTGGCCTCACCAGACACTATTACAGAAGGCTGCTAAGTCGAGTCACCCATGTTATCCATAATGCCTGGCAGGTAGATTTTAATTTCGCCATTGGCTCATTCACCAGCCAAGTAGGGATTTTGCGGCAATTCAGTGACTTTCCTATACAATCGACATACGGCGCCAAGCTCCTATTTATCTCCTTAGTTAGCGCGGTTAGCGGGAAAGCTAGTCAAATTCCCGAATAAACATACGAGGACTAGCATGCGCCTCTAGCTGGCGGATACGAGCAGTCGAAATTCGTCCATGTCGCCGAGCGCCTCCTCGAAGCAGCGAGCGAAGAAGCCAATATAACCGCAGCTATCTGTCGCGTGGGCCAGCGGGACCGGTTCAGATAACCGCAGGCATGTGGCTCCAAAACAGGAATGGTTTCCAAGCTTGATTATGCTTTCCGTGACGCTGGGCCGGATAGATGGCGTTTACTGGACCCCCGTTGACGTGTTGAGAGACATTATATGCTAGATTACACTCGACTTGTCAGCAACTAAATCTGCTACAGCTAGCATACCATGCGGTGAATTCGCATTAAACTTCGCGGAGGAAACTTGTGCCGACGGTTGCTAGCTGCCTTGACGCTGCGAATGAAGCCAAAGTGGAAATAGTGCCGCTGAAGACATGGTTGGATGCGTTACAAGAGAGCAAGATTCAGACAAGCGATGTGGGCAGGAATCCGGCAATAAAGTTACTTGACTTGATGGTGGACTTGACGAATACTAAGACCCCAGCAGCGCTGGCTGCAGATAGGACGGTCAAGGTATCGTCAACACTAGGGGGCCTAGAGCCAGTTCACGAGCCGTGGATAGCACATTGGATGAAATTACGGGCCTTTTTGACGATAAGTTCTGAAATTGTCTGCAATATACATCTTTTATAGTAGCTTATTAAGTTTAATCATATTCGACCTGTCCAAATACTTGTGCAAGCACATCAGGTATAGGCCGTATGGCCCAATGAATAAAAACTGTATACCTAATCGCAAAACTAGAGAATCTTTAAATACCACAATATACACTACAAGTACACGTGTTATAATACGTCAGAAGCTAGTAGTGCGGCAAGGGCTCAGTGAGGGCTTGGAGTTGTGCTTAATTTATCTAATCGTGATATTTGGTATTAAAGCTCCTTGGTGTTTTTAAGGCCTGAATAGTGTAAAGTGCTCTATGTATACAAGAAGTCAGTTATGCCCTAGGTCTCGTGATCATAGCCCTCGTGTAACCGTGTGACAAGTAGATCGGAGATTTATGGCGGCGTGTTACGACGCAGTCAAGACAAGCACACCACGTGATAATAACACCCCATAAAAATAAGATAAAAGAGAGACTTTATTTAGTAAATATCTCTTAAACAGAACACTTTTATCTCTTCACTCATAAATTCTTGCACGTTATTTCCAGCACCTTAATGATTGGGTCCATTTAACCTCACATTTACGGAACGTAACACATCACATATTTAGACATTGTGTATATTGGAAATGCCCACGCTACATAGAATGGCTTCTTAGTCAGCAAAACTGGAATCTGCCTTGGTGAGATTGACATATATCCTTAACCTCATCGAGAATGCCGATGTCGCTATCTACATAATATTGCCGCCAAGCCCAAATAGAACATTTTGATCCTGTTATGTCGTTTTCGGTAATTGCATTGACGATATGTTGATGTGACTAAAGCCCGTGGTGAGGCTATCAAGATCTAGCAGGTTGAAGGCCGTCGTAAAGAGATGCATTTTAATGCCAATACGAAGAGCCTCCATGATAAGGGGTCATACAACCTGGCAGAAGGTCGGGCAGGTAACCTGACACTAGCTCAGCCCACCTTAGCTGTTCGGAATCCAATAGCCTCGTTGAAGAAATCGTTGGCGTTCACGCCTTCAGGCAACTGGCTCGGAACCACTTCAAGTTCCTCTTTGTTGAAATCATGGCCGTGCCTCCCTCCATTATAGCTGCGTATACGAGATAAAGAGGCTCTGGCTCGAATCGAACTGCGTAACGGATTTGGAACTCCGAGTTTTGACCCTGTTGCGTCTCGACTTTGCCTCTCGCGCCGAAGACGGCCGTCTGTCACTAAATATTAGGCGTTGGCTTAAACTTTTCGCCAAGAAAAGAGGCCTGGGGGTTTCCTTACTTGATCTTCAGAAGTTGCAGTATCGTCTATCAAGGAACGGGAATGCCAGATAAGCTGGCATTCATCCCATAATACCTTGTTTACACCGCCCCGTAGGATTGCTTGTAGCGCGGTTTCTTTGGTATCTGATGAAGGTAGCGGTTGAGGTTGACGGGGGCGGATGATCTGATCTGATATGATGCGATGGAGTGAAAGGAGAGGCCTGCAGGAGGTGAGAGCAATTCTCAAGCTGGTCTAGTGGCCACACACCTCTTGACGGGCATTATGCAGCGATTACTCACAGTCCGAATTGTACTGTTGAAACCCTCCATTTTAACGGCTGGGGTGTCCTTTAATTCATGCACTTCGTGGTTGGAGCATTGACAACAAAGACACCCTTCCGGGGCGGTTAACCGGCATACCTGGATATTTGATGGCGGCTTTTAATATTGGCTCTACCGCTACCAGCTTGTACCACTCGGTGCTTCTTGCTGACACCTCATGTCCTAATTGGAATTTCAATTGATCTATACGGAGTAAAACACCGGACTCTCCCACCGCACTGAGAGTGAAAGACAGGCTATTAGCCCTATATTGCCTTCCCTTCTCCCCTTCCTCGTTTCCCCAGCTTTCCTCTTCTTCAACTTCCCCGATACCCACCACCTCGCCTCCCGCCATATCATCGGACAAGGAGAAGCTCGAAGAGTTCCTCCGAGTAAACAACTCCGTCAAGTACATCCGCCTCCAATGGATCGACTACTCTGGCGTGTTGCGCGCCCGCTTCGTCCCCGTCGCTCGCTACCTCCGAATCGCCAAAGGCAGTGAAGGGATCTATCTTGCCCAGAATAGCATAATCATACCCATCTACACCGCCCCCAAAATCTTCTCCCTCAGCGACTACCCGAAACTTGGTTCCTGCGCCCTAATTAGTCCTCCCTACGTCGTTGCGGCTTCAAGACCGGTCACGCGGCTGCAATAAGCTTCATCGACCAAAAGGGTTCCAAGACGAGGGATAAGTGCCCACGCATGCTGCTTGTTCAGGCCCTTAAACGGCTTGAGAAGGAATGGGGTGTAAAGATGCTAATAGGCTTTGAGATTGAGTTTGCGCTCTCAGATAGGGATGGGTCAAATAACGTTATTGGCCCTGATCCTATAAACCGCGACTGAACGTCAGCCGTCTGAAGAAGAGGCTTACACCACTAAACTACAGTGGGGGTTGTCCCTCGTACCGACTCTACCAGGTCTAGCTGATTAGCATGATAATGTGTTCAGCACATTTTCGCGGATTACTTTTAGCTCCTAGAATTAACTGAAAACTTGGCAATTAAGTCTTTTACAGGCATTTACGCGGTTTCTGCTAGCGCGATACATTATAAATAGGCGGTTATAGTGGTTTATAAATAATGTGGGTTTCATCTATAACTTTATGTGGGAATCCCTTACTAAAAATAGGTAAGCGCTATAATTATGCGTGTTATGTAGTGTTTTCAGCCGGCTAACGGTCAGTCGCGGTTTATAGGATCAGAGCCATTAAGTCACTAGAACGGCTGAATGGCTACTCGAGAACAGCTGGATTACGTGCCGAAACGTTGGATCTAGTTGAAGAGATTCTTGACGCTCTTAAGCAGTCTTCTATTCGCTCTCGTTTTAGCACAAGAAGCTATCCGGGCGATATGCGTACGTCGGAAACTCCAGGCGACTATAACCCCAAAACCAACAGTAGCTGGGCCGTCAAGCGGCCTGCACCTCCATCTTTCTACTATTAACCTTAATGGTGAACGAGCGTCACCGGAGGATTTTCTTGCTGGCATTCTAAACCACATGAGCTCGCTCTGTGCGTTTGAAATGGCAAACTATGACGGCTATGTTCGTTCCGTCGGCGATGCTGCGGGCGCATGGATTGGCTTTGGCACCGATAACCGAGACTTGCTGGTGCGGAAGATCAACGACTGGCATTGGGAGTTCCGTACGATGGATGGCACTGCAAATCCCTACCTATTCGTCGCGGCTGTCTTGCTTGCTGCTTTAGATGGGCTTGCAAGGAAAACGGAGTTGGTTTGGAAGGATTGCAAGGTCTTTCCACACTTGATGGACAAGAGAATGCGGGTTGAATACGGAATAAATAACAGCATGCCGGCCACTCTGAAAGAGGCGTTGTATTGTTTAAGGAGTGATGCTGTTATAATTGCCTGGATTCCAGCGGACTTTCTGACGTGGTACCTATCCGTCGTGGATAAAGAGGTCGAGAAGGTTGGGAAAATGACCGATGGGCAGAGACGGCTTCGGTCCTTGGAGGATTTTTGAAGCACATCTCGGGTGTATGGTTGCCTAATAAGATCTGACCTTGGCACCGTTAATCGCAATGAGTAGAAACGGATTTACAGTTGCATGATCGTACGTAACGGGTCGATTCCTCTCTTACAACTCACGGAATACAATCGCAATTAGGAGGCTACTGATTCAATACAAGCAGACGACGTCAATGTCGTCGCCTTGAGCTCCGCTACCCCAAGACAATAAATCGGGTTTCCACACTTGTACGTGGAGGTCCTTCGGAGCTCGGATTCGGCGCCGGCGACGTGGAAGCCCAAGGACTATGTCAACGATTTCAACTCGGGTAACTTCTTTCTATCACAAACCTGCTCGTCTCCCTGTGCTATCCACGTTCCGGAGCGCAATTAGATCGCTGTGCTGCTTACTATATACATAGTACCAGCTACTACCAGCAGGTGTTGGTCGTTTAGATGTAGCAGTCGGTCCTCGGTGATACGGTCCACATGAAGAGCATGCACCTGGACCATTTCCAAGGGTTAGATGGTGGAATAGTCGCACAAATGCTCGTGGAGTATCTGTTGAAATTCTGACTGATATTCCCTCTTTGCTTCCTCTGTTGCATCGAGTACATCCTCCAGCTTCAAGCCCGTTTATTCTCCGAGGATAAAGAACCCATTCATGTTCAAGCTAAAAACATGTCAACTGGTAACCGGTCTTACTTGGGCGTCACAATCCGTAGTAATCATATTTGGGCTTTGTGCGCCGTTCCGCTTGTCTACGTCAAAGTCAGCTGAGTCCAGCTTTTTGTGACGCATGATCACTGTGAATGCTCAATCAGGGCTTGTCTGCCCAATCTACAAACATTACTCAGGCAAGAAGGGTTCTTGAAGTAAGTTCACTCTGCCACACTACTTGGAAACAATCTTTGTCTACTGGACGTTCTCCAGTCATTTACTTCTCCTTGTCTTGATTTCCTTCGCTTACTCCCACCGGTGCCTGCTGAACACGTTTACGTGGTATATATTCTCCTCTTAGGAAAGCCCGGCTCTCTAGTAAAGCTGTCACTATGTAGTGTTCCACCGAAGTGTTTTGTGTAAATCTACCCTTATTTCCTTTGGTAATATGACTCAGTCTTCTCCTTCCCGTAACATGCCCACAATCACCAACTCTTGGCTCAGGACGGTCTTCTACAATCTGTGGCAGAATATATCCGGTACCAAGTACACACTAGTATACTATAGTATATATATTATACACCGCGACATTTGGGCACCTGGTTTGGGTAAATACTTTTTTGCCTCCCATTGTACTTTAAAGGTTTCATAAACAATCCCAGTCGGCTCGGACACGGCACGGCCCGAGGCGCTTTTCGGAATTGATGGCAGCTACTCCACCAGTTGCCGCATAAGGCAATATGAAAAGGTGCCGGCCTTCGATCCGCCAAGAAGATAATCTCTGATCCTGTGGATCATGAGCAACCGGAAAACCGAACCGGACCACCAATCTTTCTCACAGGTAATGTCGGCCAGGCTCACTAAAGCCTCAAGCAATCAACCAACATGTTCAATTGACCTCGAGGCAACTTGCACAAGGACCCCAAAGTTGAAAATGAATCACAAACTCATTTAGTGACACTTTATATAAGAAAGGGAATGGATTAGTGTCTATACACTACCCGCCCGTAATCAATTGCCAGTACTGCAACCATTTACTGTGTCATCATAGCCATCAAATGAAAACAAGATCGTCATATGTCTTCTCATGATCAGTATCCTTTGTCAGGGGACAACGGGAGAGTAAAAGCCGTGTAGACTCTTCACGGTCGCCGACTTCTCTTTCTCTCTCGCCTCCTTCGCGAGCGCTTCCTATAGCTTGAAAAGTGTCCTTGCATGTTCCACTGGCATCCTCACGTTATGCCGCTCGGTGATGACGGCAGCTTCTCGAGGGTGCTTTCTGTTTCAATTAGAGAAAGTCAGTCTCCCGGATTCTGGATACAACATGAACGACGGGCGGACGTACATGGCAGTTTCCGCCTTGCCTTGATCAAGGGCTGTACATCCCATTCGATCCGCACACGTACCACAAAAGGGGTTCGAGAGCAGATTGTCCCCCGAAATCCACTTATTGTAGGCCTCCGTGAAGTGTCTCTCCGCCGACTTGAAATCGCCGTCCGCTCGACTCACAGTTTCCAGCGAGTAGTTGGTGCTGTGGATTGTTAGAAAGGTCGACTAAAGGGTATGGGGAGACCTTACTATGCGACCGTCGCCTAGTTGTACGGCTTGGCGCCCCGAGTTGGCCATGACCTTAAGTCAGAATATGTCTTGAACGTTGATTTTGTCCCGCCCAGATCAGGTTATTGCCCATTCCCCACTTCAGTATCGCAGGCCATTCCGTCTTATTCTCACTGTTGTCCTTGGCCCAATTAAGCCAGTGTCTTGGGCCCCTCCGGAAAGTTGTGCGTCGACGCGATGCCGTCGGCGAGGTTTTCGGCACACCATGCCTCTTCGCGGAGGTTGCGTGGCCGATCTTTGGCAAAGATACCATACGACAACTTGACTTGCTTGACTCCTTCCTCGGCCCTGCCTACTCGTGCCAGCGCTTGGCCCCTGGGAGACGCAAGGTCGCCTTCAAGCTCGATTTGGATACTCGATGGCTGGGGAGGAATCGTGGGCATGGCCATGGCGTTGACTTCCAAAAGAACGACGAGGTCATTGTAGCCGTTGGTTTCGATGAGATAGCTGTGATCCAGTCAGTTCCTCCACGGATCATACACTGTGCAGTCCTTACCGTTGGCATGCATTGTTCAGGCTAGAGTATTGCATCAGTGCCGAAAAATTCGGGTTGGCTTCCCTCTCTTCGCGGAAGGAACCCCTCAAGCTGAGTACATGTGGGAGGTAGAGCGAGCATTGTTTCCACGAATGGTACATTTGCGCAAACTCGGCATCCTTGCGTGGAAAGGCGGCAGAGACGAATAGAGTCGCATCGTTGAAACTCTTTTGGCGGTCTTTGGGGCCCATAAAGTGTTTGAATGATTTTTGCACGAGCCTGTGAATTGAGAATGTCCGTTGCTCCTTGTTAGGTTAGACCAGGGCAAGGGTCATTAGAGACTCTATTTCATCTGAGTAATCGAAAGGATCTTGACAGAATTTGAGAGAGACCGGGAAGTTACCGGGATCTTTTGGTTCAAAGAGCGCTTGAGGAATGCTGTCCGGAGAAAGAAAAGCCAGTACGCCCAGAATGGCGCAGGTACTTTCGTTCAGTGACTGGAACAACATATTCCAAAGAGGATTGATTGAGCTGTTCCCAAATATACCGTGGACCTTCTGTGGCTGCCTCTTGTACATTTCGAAAGGGTCCTTCATGGACCAAGAGCGGTGACGAATCAGACTAGCCATAAGAGACAAGGTGAGGGCATGTCCTCTGAGGGTAAGAGGCACCTCATGAGCACTATCAGCCTCATCTTGGGTCAGTTGGTTGCCGATGTCGGTTGACAGCAAGTGAACGAGGAGTTGAGATCCTGTTTCAGTATCCCATTCTGCGATCTCAACGCCGCCATCAGTAGGATAGAACGCGAGGCTATGGTTGCGAGTTGTGATGATCGCCTGGCCTTGAGAAGCGATTGGCCAGTAGTTCATCAGCAAGTCAACAGATTCGACGTTGTCAAAGTCCAAGAGCCATTGGCATCCTGGACGTACTAGCGGGACACACAGCATAGTGTTATAGTCTTATATTTTGGAGCTAGTTTAAGACAAGCGTCTAATTTTGATTATGGTCTCTGGGCTGAGCGCCTGGTAACTTCAATCGCACAGCAGTTTCGGTGAGGCTTTGGCAAATGGTGACTTCTTTCTCACCCGCTATCCAAAACATGGCATCTAGCTCCTCACGGTGAATTCTGGTCTCGGCGTACCGCAGCGCAACAGTACTCTTGCCGACTTCGCCGATACCGTGCAGAGCGAAAGAGCGGAATGGTCGGCCGGCATCTTGCGCTCCGTTATTGAAGTATTTGTCTATTTGGATGATTTCCTCTGTGTGATCAAAGAAGCGAAGATTTCTTGGGGTAGCAAAGATGAAACAAGGAAGGCTCGCTAGCTCGTCCGGGTAGGGTGTAAAAACGGGTACTCGTGGGCACCCGTGGGTATCTAAGTTTTTCTTGGGTTATTCGTGGGCAGAGCATTAACAAGAAAACTACATTTTTAATTTTCAAAAAAGCTTAAATAATTAATAATAAATCTAATAAAATACTTGAATTATAATAATAAATGCATAAATTAGCTAATATTATAACCAATTAGCTTATTAGAGAAAGTGGGTCCTTCTAGCTTATTATAAGCTTAAAAACTAGATTATGTAATTTTCTAAAAACACACTACACTA